AACATAAAGGGAAGTAAAAGTTAATTCATTTTTATGAAAAGAAAACATTTCTTGGAAATGCTGCTCCATTAGATTCAATTCTTTCATGAAATTTCATTTTGTAGTCTTTGTCAGACATGCATTTCTATTTATGAAAATATCTTAAATGATGAAAAAATTCATATTGTGGCACTGGAAAAAAATCCGTTTTGTAAAAATTATGAAATCTTAACATTTTTGTATTGTTATATAGTTTTATTTAGGGAAATTTTATAGTTATTATAAAAAATAAAACACAGAAAGTTTTGATTCCTGTATTTAAAAAAAGTGATCCAAGGTATTTAGTTTAAATACTTGAAACTTTTTACATCAATTTTGATTTAGCTTGAGGGGTTATAAATTAGAATAACGAGGTTGATTTTTTTTTTCTTTAATGCGAGCCAATGATATTTTTTTATTTACTAGCATGTAACATTTTTTAACTTGCAATTTTGTTACAATTGGTACACCAAAAGAAGTTAAAAAAGAAATAAAATAGTCTAAATTGACATACTTAAACCATGTTTAAACATTAACTCTTTACCGACCGATTGGCTTTTTATCGGTAACGCCTACCGATCGATAGCCTATTAATCGGCTTTTTTTCACACGTCTACCAACCTATAGCCTATTAATCGGCCTTTTTTCCAACAACGCCTACCGACTGATAGCCTATTAATCGGCTTTTTTCACCAATGCCTACCGACTGATAGCCTATTAATCGGCTTTTTTTGCCAATGCCTACCGACTGATAGCCTATTAATTGGCTTTTTCGCCAATGCCTACTGACCGATAGCCTATTAATCGGTTTTTTTTCTCGGGTCTACCTAAAAATAGCATATCAATCGGTAGCCGTGGCGATAAACAATTGCTATTTGCTGTATCATCTGCATTTTATTATTGTTATTGAGCTACATTGCTCATTTGTGTTAAGTGCGTTGCTTCGTTAACTCCCACATTTTCACACAATTTTTAAAAAATTTATCGTTTACTATGAGCGAAAAAATTGTACTGGAGAATTTCATTTAGATGATTTATCAGATTGTTCCGAAAGTTATTCAGGACAGGAAGAATCTGCAGCTAAGCGGCCAGTCGGACGTGCGTATGCAGTTGAACAGCTAGCGATTGGTAAAGTATTAATAAAATGGGAGCTTACAGAGTCAAACCATCTGCTTCATCAGCTGGAGGTTGCTGTACTGATGGAGCAAACAGCGTGTTTGCAAAAGTTTCTATTTTACTAATGTTTAAACATTGTTTTAGTATGTCAGCCTAGAATATTTTATTCTGTTTTCAGCCTCATTTTAACCACATATGCCTCTTATTCATCATGCTGAAAGAATAACTTACTAGTGGGAACTAATACTTTGAAAACTTACTCGTGTGAAACAAGAGTAAGTGGAGAAGAAAAAAGTAAATTAAAATATATTTAATTTATGCAAATAATGTTGTGAGTTGCCTATGTACCAGTTCTAAAGCTTGGCATTGTTTTCTGAAACATAATACAGTACAAAGTCTTTAATCCAGATGTCCATAATCCGGAATGATCTATAATCCGGACCCAAAGCTACGAACTTTCTACGCGTAAATGCATTATGCATTTATGCATGCACATTACACGTTTATGCATGCACGTTAAATTATAACAAACGGTATAAGCTAGGCTAAAATTATCCAATTATCTATTTCAGTTAATGTTGCAGATGGCGTTGTTCCTTAATCTTCTAATTGGATACGCCTTATTATTTTTTTGCAGACTGTTAGAGCAATTTTATAAAAAGTAAGCTTTAACTTTCGATTATGTAAAAAAGAATTTCCGATTCTGGAGCTGCCAAAGGATCTACAAAGAGAAAGCATGTTTCGATGTACCGCTTCCAATAGTAAAGAAAGTGACAGAGAGGTTATTGAAAACGAAAAAATTTCGATTGCCAAGTTAGTCGGTATTCTCGACACAGCAATTACAGGACTTGAGCAGTGGAACTCAACAAGAAATTATGTCTGTTTATAGAATTAAAGAGAAAGTATAAACACAAAAAACAAAGCAACTTAAACAACTTACATTGAAAGAAATGTTTAATAAAGTAAACAAATAAATATTAAGCTTTTTTTTGTAAATTTTGATACACTTTAGATCATAATTGCTCTTTATTTCATAAATTACGGTTTCATATTTTTAATTTTATAATTTCTGTATGCCATTTTACCAGATTTAAATTGATGATCTATAATCCGGAATTGCTGAAGTCCCAACAAGTCCGGATTAAAGACTTTGTACTATATAGGATTCTGTGAATAGGATATCTTTTTTTTTTTTTTTTGGAAAAGAAATTATGTTGAGGAATGCTTTTCATGAAAATCTACATAGAAATGCTTTTGATTTAATATAAGAAATCTTTTTCTAAACTCGTGTTTAATTTTTAGATACGTAACAAATTCAAACTTTTCCATGTTCAGTTTGTGTACGGAGCCCGAATATGATTTCAGGCTTTAAATATCCTGCTCAGTTTTTGTCGTGTATGGGAGTGAAAATTTTTCTGCTTTACTTTTTTGAAGGAATTTAACTGTAGGGACTGAACCTTTGCGAAAAGATATAGTATTTAAATTTTTCAAAATTTATTTTTAAAATTTAAAAAATGTCAAAATATGAATATTTGCATAATTTAAAACATTTTTGTAATAGAAAGTATATGTCTATCACCAATAGTTGCGAAAATGAAGGCTGCATACGAATTTGTGGGTATGGTCTATACGTAAATGAAGTGTGCAAATGAATTATGCATAAACATTTTTAATATCTGTCATAGGTTTTATGAAGAAGATAAATTAGGATTACTGTCTGAAACAATCAGACTGCTGGTCTGATTTTCTAATCTGTCTTAATGTATAATTATTTTATCAGAGGAATAATTTGTCCTAAAATCATTGTACTTTCAAGAATTAATCACACTTTTGGAACAAAAGTAATTCAAGAGTTGAAGCTATCATTAAAATAAATTTTTAAAATATAACTAATAGCACGAACTTTAATTTTAATGAAATTTAACGTGTAATTGTGAACATGATGTATTTATGATTTCACTTACTTTCTAAATTGACGTTACTCGTTCTCTGATAGCCTAAATTTTTTACTCTTAATTGATTGAAATGATAATTAGTTATTTATATATTTTAGTTAAAATATGTTTAGTTGTCGTTAATGTGACCTATTTCCATTAAAAACTTGCTCTTTAGGTTAATGTGTAGTAAAACAATATTCTTTTACACCTTCAGATATCTGTGAAAATAGAAGATATATTATAATTCTGAAAGGTATTGTTTCATTAATTTAGTATGTCCTTCATTACTATCAGTTGCAAAAACTGTTTGATCAATTAATGAACATCTGTAAAAATAATGACCATGTAAATATACGAACTTCAGTTTAAATAACATTGACCATTCCTGTAGAAATACTTTGCCTTGTACTCCTTATTTGAGCTTTCACTTTATATCATTTTACTAATTGTCTTGAAATGTTTTGCTTGATTTGTATATGAAATGAAAGCCAGTTATAAGATAATGCAGTTATTGAAATTAGTTATGTATTAATGTATATATTAGGTTTTTAGCATTTTAATACTCCATTCCCTTTTCTCACCATACTTCAGATTACCTTTCTCCCTCCAGGTTTCTTTTATTCAAATACTGCACTCTGAATAATATGTAAAATTGAAAGTATTTTATTTAAATGTACTATAAAGGCATAAATTTAAGATTTATTATTTTTATTAATACATATTTATTATTTTATGAATTATTTTATTTATTAAATAAAAATAAGGATAAATTTTATTAGCTTGCATGGCTTACATGAAACGTGTTTAAATCTTTTAAGCCATATTGTTCATGTTATTTCAGTTCTGTCGTAATCCTTTTTGACATGAGCTTTTTGGTTCTATTTTAAATCTATAAATCTGAGGTCATTCAAATTCCTCATTAATTGAAAACCTCCAGTATCTGTGTATCTCATAGCTGCTAAATTCCTCAGTAAAAGGAATACACTCCTGGTTTTTTAAGGGGCCCACCAGAGACCCAACGGTAAAGTCGTTAAACACTGGTATTTTGGTCTGATGTTCAAATCCCATGAATGAGCTAGCTGTATGGGCGTATTTGTATTCCCCACGAAGTCATTCCTCCTATTAGGTAGATACCCCTCGAGGCTTTGCTGTAATCACATAAATCAAACCAAAACAAACCTTTTTTTTTTTTTTTTTCCTTTTTACTCTTTACTAAGGAAATCTAGCAAAGAAAATATTTTTCAACAGCTGAATTAATTAAACTTAAATTGAGCATATTCTACTCCCTCACACCTAGTAATTCTCAGCATAATTTTTCTCATTAAATTTTATTTGATCTGAATTATCTTAATCTTTGGTAGATGATTTTAAGACTTTTTATGAAGATTCAACCAACGTTGAATCAGTTAATATTTATAGTTAATTTTGTTTTACATCAACAAATGGTACACAATATAACAATGGTATCATTTATTCACTCTTTAGTATGTGTGTTAATTACTAATTTTATTTTTGTATTAAAAAATACTTTAATAAATATAAACTTTGTTTCCACTCGGAATTTTCTCAGTATAAAAGAGTAAGAAAATTACAAAATGAAATTAGCTAAGGAATATCTAATGAAATATATTTTACTTCAAAATCGCATTATAAATATTTCAGTAAACTGGATTTCATAAAATGTATTTCAGTCAATTTACAGTTCTTTTGAAATGACATTTCTGTGCAGTGTAGAATTCTCCTGGAAACTCTTTTTCTTACAAAAACTTTCCAGTTTTTCTTATTTCAGTTTTGAAAGCTGGAGTATCTTCTGCCAACTATATGGTTATGATACTATATGGTTTACTATATGGTTTAAGTATCTTAATTTTAAGGAGATTGCATTATTATAAAAATTTATTCTTTTTTGCATTCCATTATATTTTATAGGTAGATTCTTAGAGCCAGTAATTGTGCCTGCCTTGGATTAGTCCATACAATATAGAGTTAAATTTATGTCATGGATGAAATAAATAAAAGACTAGAAGAATGGAAGTTTATCGTAGATAGGTAGATTATTTTATGTTATTTACGTCTGCAATTTTAGTTACAGCTTGTTGTATGTTTAAATTTTTGATAAATGTAAAATAAGATTACAGAAAATCAGCTAAACACAGATCAGTTTGTATACTAGTTGTTACTATTTATTCAACACTATGTTTAACGTTACATATTCTGTTACAGTTGCAACTATATCCATATGTATATATAATAATTTATTTCCTAAACAGTATTGATTAATTGATTATATTATCTCCTAAGTTTAATTAAAGTAGAATTATTTTAAAAGTGTGAATCCATACTGGTAAGTTATATTTTGAAAGATGTTTTGAAGTAATTTGAAAGCAAAATGTTAATAATGTTTTAACGGGGACTGGAGTTAAATCATCATGAAGAATAAAATTTCAATTGTAAAAGGAAAAATTAAAACATGTAATCATTGTCATTGATCGGAAATTAGTTGACTTTTCAAGGGAAACAAACCAACTCCCGTTCAATGAACAATAATTGATAAAAATACGTAAATACGAAAGTGTTTCGTCTTTACTCGAGTTATAAGTTAAAGCCAAACCTAGGCAATTCTAGTCAGGCCAAATATTTCCGCGAATAGAAGGAATTATGAACCAATGCTGATACTCAAAGAACTTATTCTTATGAAGCATTTTAGTCAATTCAATTTGGAGTAAAAATCAATTACTGTAGAGAAATCCTATTTAACTCGAGTAACCGTCCCCGACACCTTTCATGTTTATGCATTTGAGTACTATATTATTTGTAGAAATTAAACATTGGAAATTGTCATTGTGAAATCGAATTCAAAGTAAAGTTGAAATAAACATAGAAGATTACAAAATAAGATAAGTAATGCAAACTTTGTAAAAACAAATCAAGACAATATAAAAATAATACAAAATAATAATAAAATAATATAAATAAGATCAGTGAATGTACATGAAGATATAAAGGCCAGAAAGGTATTAAGTAACTTACATTCTTTCTAGTGGGGGAGTTGGCAAAGTGTTTCTCTTCGTGTCTGACTCATAAGTGTAGGGTGTCCGCGAAAATTCTTAGCGGCAGTAGGGGCTTTGAATAATATCAGTCGGTAAGACTTGGGTAAAGTAATTTATGGTAGTGGGTGGGACTTGGAATTTCTTGAGGGATGTATTTTGTGGAGTTCTTATCTGAGTGAGACTGTCTGTTAAGATTTTTTTGAAAATACTAGTGAATGGAAATTAATTAATTTTCTGGCTAATTGTCGTGTCGTAATGATTAAGAATTTAAGAAAGGAAAAAAGAATTTTCACTGTCCAAGAGCTAATAGACAGACTAAAGGCATGAAATTGGCCCGTTTTTTTAGTAACAGTATATGTCTGAAGACAATTAGCTTTTTACAATATATACAATTGAGTAATTACACTATATACAAATCTTCCAACTGACAGTCATCCAACTTATACCGCCTTCTCAGGTTTAGGAACAAATTATCATATCCCTATCAGTTAAATGATTTAGAGTGAGTATTTAACGCCTGCTCTTTTAAGGCAATGGTTGATAAATTGAATGGAATTAGATTATTTTCGAGAATTTTAATAAGGATCAAAATTTCGCGTTGTAAATCTATTGTATCTGTGCTATAGTTTTAATTCGTTGTATTTGATTATTATAGTATTGTTAATTACTTTTTTGGATATGTTGGAGTTCCAATTTATTAATTTGTTAGTATTGAAATTGAAGTTTCTTGTTTTGTCAAAAAGTAAAATTTTTTGTAGTTAATGATTTGAAGATCTAGAAAGTCTATGCTATTTTGTGAATTATTAGTTTTTATTAAGTGTAAGACAATTCGGATAAATCTCAGAGTGTTCAATTTTACCAAAATTATTAATTGTAATAAGGTCATCAATATATCTGTAGGTGGTTGTTTGTAGTAATTTAACTCTTTGGTTGTAGATTTTTTTTTGGAAGTTAAATTCTTTGACAAATAAAAAGATATTACAGATCGAGGTGCTGGAATGTAAGCCCATTGGCAATCCTCTGACTTGTTTAAAAAGTTTGATTTTGAAACTTTGATGTAGTTATGAAAAGTGTGCATTTTAGGTAGGTTTTCCATTTGCCAAGAGTCATGATATTGAGTATATTAGGGAAAAGTTTAGGTAGATCAAGTAGACTGGTATAGATTTCTTCTAGAGGAAGTGAGGTATATAAGTTTTCAAAATCATAGCAGTTAATGTTTTGGATGTTAATGGTTTGAATGGTATTAATGACAGGAGTGTTATTATGAATGATCCAGCAATAGTTATGATTAGTGTTACAATCATTGAAAATAAATTTACAGATTTTATTAAGTTGAATTGAAAAATATATAGTCTACATTTTTCTTGTAATTATTAGTTCCATTAGCTATAAATCTAAATTTTAATGGTGTTTTATGGAATTTGGGAATCGCATAAAGATTAGTAAATCTGTTGTAGTTTGCATTGAAAGTAATATTGAGTTTCTTATGAAAAGTTTTCCTGTTTATTATAGATGTTTTCTGTAAGGTTGGCTATAATTGATAAGTAGTTGCGTTGAGAAGTTCTTTATGAATAATTTCAGCGTAGAATTGTTTTTCATATAATGCTAAGTTTATTAGTTGCTTTATCTATTTTTGTAATAGTAAAAAGCTGTTTTAATTTATTAATATCTGATGTAAGTTTGCGACCAATTCAGTGTACTTTTAAATTTGAGGTGACTGATTTCGGTGGATATGCGTTGAAGAATTTTAGCTTTCCATTTTAAGAAGGTATCTATGGGTAAATTCAGTTGATAGCTTGCTTTACTATAAATTCGTTGATGTTGTTTTCGAAAGTCTTGTAACAGTAATTTGTAGTCATGTTTCTGACTGGTCTAAATTTTGTATATTTATATGACATCTCCCTTTTTAATAAAGCCCATCAGCAACTGAGTGGTAAATTCTCTGAACCCTGCTAGTTTGACCTGGGTTCAAATCCAGGCAGTATTAGGTGCACAGGCATTTTTAGTTTTCCCAATGTATTGTGTCATATAAAAGGTCTCTGTGCTTTTTTGCCACTATATGTTATGATGCCTATATATCCTGCAGCACTCACCTGATTGTCTCAAATGAACATGTGCTTAAGACATTAATTTTCCATTGTTTTTGAAGCTAGTTTTTTAATTTGTTGCTTATGTCAAAAGTTATATTGATCTGAAAATGTGTGAAATATCTGAAGAAATACGGTATGTGATGCTTTTTTACTATAAAAAAGGTGAAAACATGCTGGAAAATTTGTGAAGTGAATGCTCTGAGTGAACAAAGGACCCAGCAGTGGTTTGCTTTGATTCCATTCCTGAAATTGCGATATCGAGATTGGAAGGGAATTTTGTCCATTATGAGCTATTGCAACCTGGCAAAACCATCAATTCGACCCTGTACTGCACACAAGTCAACCGTTTGAATGAAGCAGTCTACAAAAGGTCATCAGACTTGGCCAACAGAAAGGGAATTGTGTTCCATCATGACAATGCACGGGCTACACACATTTTTGATGACTCGGAAGAAATTGACGGAACTTGGTTGGGAAGTTTTGATGCACCCACCGTATAGCCAGACTTTGCACCATCTGACTATTTGTTTCGGTCTCTGTAAAACTCTCTTGATGGTAAAAAGTTGGCCGACCGAAGCGCTGCTGAAAAATCACTTGGCCAAGTTTTTCGACAATAAACCACATAAGTTCTATACCGATGGAATTATGAAGCTTCCCAAAAAATGGCCAAAGGTCATAGATAATAATGGTCAATATGTAGTTGATTAAATTTTCTTTATCAATTTTCAATAAAGAAAATTTTTGTTAAAAAAATCGCCCAAGAAAGATTGGAGACTTTTTATATGACCCAATGTAATGCGGATACGAAGCAGTTTCACTTAGAAAATCCTTCACTAAGGTCCACTAAGCCAACACTTCCCTTAGCCAGAAAGCCCTTTTGTGCTTTGCAGTTATCAAATAAGCCAAATAAAACCCTTTTTAACAGAAATAAAAGGTGCACATTCTTTTAAATATAGAGGTATTTTAGCAGTCCTGCAAATGAGTAATATAGTTATGTCAGTTTGCAGAACTTAGTGACATAGCAGTTTAATTACGTGCGTGAGAATTTATGAGCATCTGTAAATTTGGAGTATTTCTAGTACCCTCTGATTCATTCTCATTAACATCTTTAGTTTTACTAATTCACAAGTCAAACAACAAAAATCAGCGTTATATTCACAAAATTTTCACAGGACTAGTTTCGATGGTTTTACCGAACCACCATCCTCAGCTGCAAAATCTTATCTAATCATTATTTCCTATCTTGTTCATTTGCGGTTTTGCAGCTGAGGATAGTGGTTCGGTAAAACCATCAAAACTAGTCCTGTGAAAATTTTGTGAATATAACGCTGATTTTTGTTGTTTGACTTGTGAATTAGTATTTATTCGATGTGTTATTGTGTCTTAATTATCTTTAGTTTTGTTGCTTTCATTTTCATAACTGTTTTTCATCATGAATCTTTCCAGTTTGTTACTTTTAGAATGCCTCTTCTGTTTCTGTCAATTCTGCCATCTCTTTTTTTTTTATATATAATCCTGAATAAACATGGTCTTTATGCTTTTCCTATGACTTTTCAGCTTTCTTTTAGCGTTCCCCCTTTCTTATTCATGTGCACATAGTCTCCTGCTGTCAATAGTTTTAAAGGTCTATTCCTATCAGAATAACTCTTTGTGATGTTTATTTCTTAAGTAAATGTTATGTTTCTTTTATATGTTGGTACTCTTTTGTAGGCATCAATCTATTCACTTTTCTTCCAAGCAACAGTTCTGAAGGTGATTTAATTTTCAGCTGAAACAATGATATTCTATTGCAACTAAATATGTATCCTTATTTTCAACTCCAGCTTTTTCAGTATTTTCCAATTCTTTGCACTTCCCTGAAAAGTAGCCATGAGTGGTGTTCTGTGTGACTAAAATAGGCAACCAAAGA